TGATGATGATGATGATGATACCCGAAAAAAAACTTTTTCTCATTTATCACAAACCTCTCCTCCTCCTCCCCTATCCCCTCCCCCTCCCCCACCCTCTCTCTCTTTCTCTTTTATTATTATTATTATTATTAAAAAATTAATAATTTATTAATTAATCGATAACTATTAATCATTTTAAATTAATTATCGATAAATCAGGTGGTGATACAAGACGATGACGACTACGGTTAATCGGTTTACGTTTAAAATAAAAATAAAAAAACTAATAATAATAATAATAATAATAATAATAATAATAATAATAATGTTGATGATAATGATAATGATGATGATGATAATGATAATGATCCGGTTTTTTTAAATGATTTTATTTATGGTTAACTCTAGTTTTTTTTTTTTTTTTAAAAAATTTCACTGTCAGGTTACTGGTTAAAGTGGCGCGCAAACTAACCCGAGGGCGTTATTTAACCTTCTTACGTATTAATAATAATTGTTTATTAATACATAAATAATTTATGTATTTATGTATATAGAGTTAAACCGTAAAAGGTAATTAATGTTTTTTTAATAACATTATACCTTTTTTATGATTATTATTTTACACGTTTATCTTTCACCACAATATGATGATGATGGTGATGGTGCCGCAAGTCAGGAGAGGAGAAAGGAATAATATAGAAAAACCTGACGAATAATCATATGATTTTTTTTTTGCTGACGTTTAAAACGATATTAAAAAAAAAAAAAAAAAAAAAAAACCAAAAAAATTTTGTTTTATAAAGCGATTTATTAAATTTATCAGGGCCGTAATTAGACTTTTAAAAAAAAATTTATTTTTCCGTACCCGAATTTTTTTTTTTCAACCCTAATCGTTTCCCCCCGCGTTTTTTTTTTGTCTTTTCCCGTATGAAAATAATTAATTAATTAAAAAAAAAAGGGCGCTGACGACAGCTACATCAAAAAGGGCGGCGGAAAATTGTACAAAAACGGCAAAAAAAATTTTTTTTTTTGCTGTCCCCCCTTT